GAGAGAAAAATATTTGAATGTAGCTTTCAGGCGCCCCCTGGAGGACGAATGCATATTGACTAGTAGGAAATAGTTATTTGCAAGGAGCAATTGTGTTCCCAGTAGTACAGATACAGACCTGACCTCATAAATATTTATAGGTGGTAATAGACACCAGATAACTTAGAAACGTGCTGTAGGTGCTCAGGATGACCTGAGGAAGGTGACCCGCGTGGCCTACTCCATGGTGAAGCAGTATGGCATGGTTGCCAGTGTGGGCCAGGTGTCCTTCCCCGACTCCGAGGATCAGGGCGGTATTGGACGGAGACCATTCAGCCAAGGACTCCAACAGCAGATGGACCATGTGGGTGAAAGAACATACTCACCTGTTTATTGTTCCACTGGTGTGGTGTGGTGTGGGTGATGTGATGTTACAGAGGCATGTGTGGGTGTTAAATATCAGTTGTTTTGAATATGTGTGTGTGGTTATTTATTTGTGTTCTTTTCTCTCATGTTCAGGAAGCTAAGATGCTAATAGCAAAGGCCTACAGGCACACAGAGAAATTGCTCTTGGACAACAGAGACAAACTTATTTTGGTAAGATCTAAAATCATGAAAATCTTCCTAAGAAAGAAGTTAAGACATTAAGACATTTCTAAAGATCAATTTTAAGACATTCATAAAAATGTTCCTAATTGTAGTTCTTGAAGAGAGTCTCAAATTCTTCTAAGGAAGTTCTCAAATATTTTTGAGATCTTTTGTTTTCTTAAGAAGAAAATGGCAAGCTTTGGGTTACCTGTTTGTGTGGTGGATCTTGCTGAAGACTCGCTGGTCAACTCGATGAAAAACACTTTAAAGACCATCTTTTTGTCATGCAGATAATCATAAGCATGCATACTATTTTCATCGGTCTTGAAGGTAGTTCAGAATTTATTTAGCATTTTTTTTATATGCTCTGTATTTTTAAATAGTTACTTTGCTAGAGTGAGAATGCACAATATCATAAGTGCTGTTATAGAATTAAAAATGAGTGCATTATATGAATCGTTTTTGTAGAGTTGTTAATAAATGTAATATTCAGCAAAAAGTCAAGACACACTACTAATGTAAATAATGATCAGTCATGATTGTGTCACTTCAGAGTAGTCCTGCACATTCCTATTAATAGTGATGTAGTTATGTTACGTTCAAATACATAATATTTGAAACAACAAAACATTTTGACAACCAGCCGACGACAACGTTTTTTTTTTTTTTAAGATCTTAAGCTTTAGATCTTCAAAAAAGATATCATTCTTAAGAAATGTTTTTAGGAATGCAAAATGTTTAACAAATGTTAGAAAATAAGGAAAACATTTTTTTTTTAAAAATAAAAATTTAAGAATGTTTTCTAAATGTGGCTCCAAATCAACTTGG